AGAGCAGGGTCTGCAGGGCTTGTGTTTTGCAGGCCGTGAACCGAGGATGGTGGCACCGCTCCGGGGGGTGCGGCCCTGCTGGTGTCTCGTTGTGTTCTCCCGTCATCGCAGCCATGCAGATGGATTTACTCCTGTAACTTTCCATCATACCGAGGTGAGGAGACGCCACCCTGATTCCCTACGATTTTCTGAGTTGGCTTTAAGCCGTTTTGGCCTGCGGGAGAGTTCAGCCCTGCCTTCTGCAGCGCTCCCCCGTAGGCTGCGCTAGAGCCCCGCAGCACCCGCAGCCCTGCTCCAGGAGCCAGCTTGCTAAGACACAGGATGCTTGCGGGTTCTGCCCCTTGTCCCGCCCAAGAAGTACACTCAGTTTGCAAGGAAATAACTCTTATTTTCTTCTTCTTAAAGCTGCCTGAGCAGCCTGGTGCCTAAGCGTGTGCTTTGCCTGTCACCAGCACTGAGCTTTGAGCTGGGGGGTTTGCTCAGCTCAGAGCAGAATACAGGCTTGAATGAAGCTGTTTCTGCAGAACCAGTGTAAGAATAAGCAAAGAGAACCAGACACTTGTAGAAGCAGAACTGGTAAAAAGTTAAATGTGTTTATTAGCTTCATGTTTAAAGTTAAAACTGTAGATCCAGGCACTTAAAAGTGGAAAGCAGGAGGACTTGGGAGGATCAGTGATTACAAGCTGCTCTCAGCAGTGCTGCATGCTTTCTGGCAAATGATCTTCAGCTAGTTTTGAGCAAGGGGGTAACTGCTGCTCTCCTCTGTTTGCTCCCAAAGGTTTGGACAGAGCTCTGACAGGATGTTGGGAATTCTGAAGCAGCCGGTTGTGGTGAGGGCGGAGATAAACCTGAGCCTGGTGGCCCTGACTGTGATGGGGCTAATGAGTCGTCTCTGGGGGCTTTCCTATCCCAGGGCTGTGGTGTGAGTAGGACAGTTGATTTTCTACTGGAATGACACAGACTTTTGGTGTTTAAGCATTTGTAAGAGTGCAGGAATGGAGGAGCAGAGCCTGCCTGACTCCAGCCTCTCTAAGTACAGTGACAGTGTTTCCCTAATGGAAATTCTCTAATGGGGAAGGGCCCAAGCCACTGTGCTTCACTGGATTCTTAGTCTTTTTACCAACAAATCCGTGTTTCCTTCCTTAGCATCCCTGTATCCTGCAGGATTCTTCCAGCTAGATTTGACATGTTTCTGCCTCTTGTGTTTCAGTTTTGATGAAGTTTATTACGGCCAGTTCGTTTCGCTCTACATGAAGAGGATCTTCTTTGTGGATGACAGTGGCCCTCCCTTTGGCCACATGCTGCTGGCCCTGGGAGGTAGGGCCTCTCCTGAAATTGGGAAGTGGCTGTTGCTATGGAAGAGGGAAGTGCTGGTTAGAAATGAGTTGTCAGATCCTGGCTTTGGTTAAAAGCTTGAGGCAGCCCAGAGATTCTGATAGAGAATTAGGGTTTCCCTTATTGTTAGGGGGCTGTTGCAGGAGTTCTGTGGAGGTGAAGGAGCCATGTATCCATTTCCTCTTTGTTATCCAATCTTTTGGAAAAGGGGAAAGGTAAGATGAGAACTCCCAGCGCCTAGAAAACAGCCAACAGACTTTCAGACCTCAGTAGCTGTAGCTGAGATGTGCAGAGCATACAAGTATCTACATTGAGAAGTTAAATATACAGTAACTTTGTCACTGGGAATCTGTTGTTCCCAATTTCTATCCTTTCTGCCTCTGCACATTATCCTGCACTGCTGCAGGCAAAGAAGTATGAAAAAGGACCCTTTTGGGAAAGAGGGCTTTCATGAGTGGAGAAACTGTGTTTGGGAAATGATTCCGGGACTGGTTTAGCACCAGTTTTTATACTTGTTTTGAAACTGGGAATTCTTAACTCTTGCTTATGTTGTAGGTTACATAGGAGGATTTGATGGAAACTTCTTATGGAACAGGATTGGAGCTGGTAAGAGCTGATTTTAACTGTCTCATTCTTTTGAGAAAAATAGTATTTCAGCAGCAGACAGATTCCTTTTGCCTGATCAGTGGAAGTAACACTTTATGTGACACCTTCTCTTAGACCAGTCCTCTGCAGATCTGTAACAGGAGTTTAAGTGATTCCATAGCACAGATGTTTTAAATTGTTAAAGCAGTGAAAGCAGCACAAGATGGACAATAAATCACTGAGAGAAGGAGTTAGATTCAGCGAGTTGTTGTACTTGCAAGGTGGTCTGTGTTGGTCTGTCTCCTCTGTAATTCATTGTTTCCCAATCTGTGTGTCCCTGTTGTCTCTTGTTTCAGAATATACCACCAATGTCCCTGTTTGGTCCCTGAGACTCCTGCCAGCACTGGCTGGTGCTCTCTGTGTCCCTTTGGCATACCAGATTTTGGTGGAGCTGCACTTCTCCCACTGTGCTGCACTTGGAGCTGCTCTTCTCGTTCTCTTAGGTAAGATTGTTCCCCTGGGCCCCAACCTTCATACAGGGGGAGCAGGGTCCTTTTTCCCCCTATGAGTTCTTAGGGCAGATAAAAGGCTGGAGTAGCATCTCCCCTAGAGTGCTCACAGCACCAGAGCCTGCTTCCAGGCCTTGACCAGTCCCTGCTCAGCTTTTCCAGCCCCCTCAGTCCTCCCAGCTTTGCAGCAGCCTCAGTCCTCCCAGCTCTGCAGCCCTGCCATTCCAGCCTGAGGCTTTATACAGATTCATTTAGTTATTAAGCAAACCCTTAACAGCCTCACAGAAAACCACGTTTCTTACATCCAAGGAGGCCTGTGCCCTTCCTCAGAGGTGTTACAGCACACTGGTTTTTAACAGCAGGACAACCTACTTAGAGTAGGCTCATCACATTTCCTCATCTCCAGACTGCAGCAGTCCAGTCTGTGTCCCTAGCACCAAATTTGACACTTCTCTGGTGTCTATAACTCAAGCTTTTGCTTTGGTTTGGTTTGTTTTTTCTTCTCTGAGGGCCTACTGGCAGCTGCCTGAAAGGGAGGAGCCCTCACCAGCCCTTCAGCAGTTTGATAAGAGAGACCCTCCCAGCTTCTGGCTGCTCTGATGCTGGCTCAGGGAATCCTGCACAAAGCAGCTGCCTGGAGCTCCCTCTCCTGAAGCTTGGACATCATGCCCATTGCCTGCTGGGGTCACTACCTTGACTCTCAAAGCCTTGAGAAGCACCTCTTGGGATTTCCCAGCATTCCCCGGATTTTCTTTGCCTCTGTAGGCAAACACAGCACCTTTATCTCTCTTGCCAGACTTTGCTACTTGCCCACCTCTTTTTCCTTGGAGATAGTTATGGCTGTGCACTTTGCTCCTGCTGGAAAGTTTTTGTCCCTTTAAACCCAACACTTCCCCATTACAGCCAGGAAGATTTCAAGTGAATTGACTGTCTTTAAAAGGGCAGGTCCTTCTCTTGGATAATTATGGTCTGAGGTAGCCCTTGCCTTCAGAGAAACTTATCTGTGTCTTGTGTCTGTCTCTCTTTTCCAACAGAAAACTCTTTGATCACTCAGTCAAGGTTCATGCTCCTGGAATCAATATTGATTTTTTTTATCCTACTTGCAGTTTTGTCCTACCTGAAGTTCTACAATTTGCAGAGGCACAGGTAAAGCTAAATGTCTCCCATCCCTTTGGATATTCTTGTGGTGACTTCTTTTTTGTCACAGAATGGGGTTTTTTTTTCTGTAAATCCCTTGTTCTGCAACTCACTTCATCTGTCTGTAAAATTCAGTGCTTTGACCTCTCACATGGCTGCCCTGGAAGGTTTCTCCTGAGCAGTGTTAAAGGCTTTTAACTGCTACCAAGGTTGGTTTTTTTATTTTATAAAAAAATAAACCCCTTTGGGAGCCCACCCAGATTTTTTATTGGGATGTTCCATGCACAGAAACACTCATGTTAACAGGTCACTTAACACTGGAGATCTTTGTCTCTTTTCTTGTGACTTCACCTGCTTTTTGATCCTTGCAGGGGATAAAGTAATCTTCAGGAAAGTGAAATTATCTCTCAGCTGAGCCCAGCAAGTGATTTAATACCTTTCTTTGATCTCTGGTGTCAGAAGGCAGGTAGCAGTGGGTTTTGCTTTTCAGGATACAGGAAAATACATTTAGAAACAGCCTGTAGGTCAGGGCTGAGAGTTGGTGGCAACAGGAGTTTCAGAATGAAATCCCTCTGAGTAGAACTAGAAATAGTGGAGTCCAACAAGTTTTTTCCAGGTTAAATTAGTTGAAGTCAGGATCCTAAGAAGGTGCCCAAATCCTTTCCTTTCCTTTCTCCTTTTATTTCAGTTCCTTCTCTGGAAGCTGGTGGTTTTGGCTGCTGTTGACTGGAGTAGCTTGTTCTTGTGCAGTTGGGTAAGTGGTGGTGTCTTGGTGACATTCCTGCCTGCCATCCCAGGTGTCAGTGGGGCTTTGGATTTTGGGGACTGATTCTTGGTGCTGTTTTGTCATCTCCATGACTTTAGTGAGTTTCTATAGAGAGGATGGCAATTCACAGAGGGCATTAGAGGGCACAGTGCTGGGAAGAACAAAACTCACTTCTCCTTTAGCTTATTAGCATTAAGCTTCAGTAAATCTTAATTTAGGGAGTTGGCACTTTGTGATCTGCCACCTGACAGGTTCCCTGTCACTGGAGCTGCTTGGTGTAATTGGCAAACAAATTATATCTTCTGCTGTCAAAGCCTTGAAATGTATGTTGTACCCAACTTGTCATGGATCTAAGTCCTTGGAATTTAGTGCATCCCATTCTAGGGAATGTTTGAATGTTTATACTTGTGTTGGGTAACCATGTAGTTTTTAACTGTGTTCATTTTTAATGCACTTTCTTCTCAGAGTGAAATACATGGGCTTGTTTACCTATGTGCTGCTCTTGGCTGTGGCAGGACTTCACTTCTGGCACATGATAGGAGACCAGAGCTTCTCCAATGTAGGTGGCACAACATGCAAAATGTGATTATTCCATGCAGGAGCCAGGCATGAGCTCTGCAGGCCCCCAGACAACCATGCTGTCTGTAGGTGGTTCTTGCACCAGAATTCCTTGTCATGGTCTGCAAACCATCATGTCACAGAACAGATTCCCAGCTCAGGTGCTGGAGAAGATGGAGTTAAATTTAGGATAAGCACACGTTTGTGATTGGCTTTTTTTGGCTCTTACCTATGTCTTGGAGATTTGTGGCTCAAAAACTGTTTCACAGCCCCTTTTGCTGCCTCCAGTTCAAATCCACAGTGGAAGTTACCCAGCTGTCCATGAAGTTATAGTTGAGTCAGGGGGATTGTGGAAACCTGACAAACAAAACAAGTGCACTAATATTTTAAAATATGCTTAGCATCTGGAGCATGAAACCAGTGAGTTCTCTGTGTTCTAGGTTTCCTTACTGTGCCATTTTCTAGCGAGGGGACTGGCCCTCATTGTCACCCCCCTGGCCATGTACCTGTCCTTCTTCTATGTCCACCTGACACTGCTTTATCGCTCTGGGCCTCATGACCAGATCATGACAAGTGCTTTCCAAGCCAGCCTAGAGGTAAAGGAAGTGTGGGCATCAAATGGATTTATGAGGGGAGAAGAGGGGGACATCTGTCTTGTGTTCACTTTTGGAAGGTGTGCAGTCTTGTTCCTTATGTCTTGCCTGTTTGTTCCTTTTATGTCCATCCCTGGAAGTGTTCAAGGCCATGTGGGATGGGGCTTGGAGAAACTTGGTCTAGTGGGAGGTGTCCCTGCCCAAGTAGGGGGGTTGGAACTGGATGATCTCTAAGGTTCCTTCCAACTCAAACCATTCTATGATTCTACCTTGCTGGTGTGGCCCTGCTTTGAGATGAAGCAGTAATGACTGAAATCCTGATAATGGGTGGAAAGCTTTTCCCAGTGAGCCAAGAACAGTGTGTTCACTCTTCTGCTGGAGTCCCTTCCTACAGAAAACTCCACAGAAGTAGCTACAGTGCTGAGCTCTGAAGTGATGGTGGTGGGGAGTACAGGATGACAGTGTGATTTTCTGTAGAAGAATGATCAGTCTGTCTTGTAAAACAGCATGGTTTTAGGGGTGTTCCTCAAGACCTTGTAGGCTTTCAGGTGTTGATATCTGCTGAGTGTGGTGCTGCAAATGTGATTCTTGTAGATACAACCAGATGAGAAGGTGTTGTGCTAAGATACTTCTATGTCCAAGTGACAGGTGACTCCTAATAGAATTTAAACAGTCTCTGGGTTGTTTCTCCTTCTCAGGGTGGACTGGCTCGGATCACTCAGGGGCAGCCCCTGGAGGTGGCCTATGGCTCTCAGATCACCCTGAGGAACGTGCTGGGCAAGCCCATGCAGTGTTGGCTCCATTCTCACACAAATACTTACCCCATCAGGTGAGGAATCCGGTTGTGTCTGTGTTGTTAGGGTGAAAGTCTGCTTTTATTCTTCACCTGCCAGTCACAGTGTCTCAGTTTGGGTCCTGAAAGTCTCTTCATTAATCCTTCAGAGCACTCTGCAGATGTCCAGGTTCTCTATACTCTGTAGGAATGGAGGCAGTGATCTGGTGCTGCTTTGTGTTGCTGTGACTCTGAAGCACAGAGATGTTCTGTGACACCCCCCTGGATTTTTAACTTTCTGTGCAGGTATGAGAATGGCCGAGGGAGTTCCCATCAGCAGCAGGTGACCTGCTATCCCTTCAAGGATGTGAACAACTGGTGGATTGTCAAGGATCCTGGAATGTGAGTATGCCAAGCTGCTCTAACCGTGGCTGCTGCGTGCTTCCAAACCTGGGTCTCTTTAGCTTGGAGAAAAGGAGACTGAGGGGTGACCTCATCAATGTTTACAAATATGTAAGGGGTGAGTGTCAGGGGGACGGAGTTAGGCTTTTCTCGGTGATGACCAGTGATAGGACAAGGGGTAATGGGTGTAAATTGGAGCATAGGAGGTTCAAGGTGAATATCCGAAAAAATTTTTTTACTGTGAGAGTGACAGAGCACTGGAACAGACTGCCCAGGGAGGTTGTGGAGTCTCCCTCACTGGAGACATTCAAAACCCACCTGGATGAGTTCCTGTGTGATGTACTCTAGGTGACCCTGCTCTGGCAGGGGGGTTGGACTAGATGATCTCTCGAGGTCCCTTCCAGCCCCTAAGATTCTATGATTCTATGATTCTATGATTCTATCCCTAGCTTGGATTGGACATTTCTGTTCTCTGCTTATGGGTGTAGAAGCCATGTGTGATCCTCAGCTGCAGGGCCAGTAGGGGCAGCTCTTTACACACTCCTCAGTATGTAACAGCATTACTGAGGACTCCAGAATTATTTCAGAACTGTTCCTGCCAGAACCTGGGCAGTGCTGTGCCCAGGGGGGACTTGAAAGACTCATGAGACTGGTGGGAACGGTTCAGGTGCTTTGCATGAAAGGCAAGTTCTGCTTTTTGAAGTGTGCTTTAGAGAGCCTTGATGAGTTGTATCAAACTTGTAAGGTTCTCAGGAGAAAAGAGATCACTTCTGCAAAATGGCCATTTCTTTGCATTTAAAGTGTGGGATGAGCTGTAGAATCTGCCACATGGGGAGAGATTCCAAGTGGGAGCCTGTGCTTGAGGGGCCTGGTTTGTGCTGGTGTTTTGCCATTGTCACTGTCAGTGAGGAGCAGGACTCTTTTTTTCTTGTGGTTTTGCCAGTAAAAGCCCTTGTGTGCTATCATTTCATACTGATTAAAAAGTTGCTTTTGTAGGTTCCTTAAGTTGCTCTGGGTTGTACAGAGTCCCACCAGAAGGCCTGTGTGCTATTCTGAATTGTATCCACATTAGGAAGGTTTGTTCAGACCTTTGGAACAGGGTCTCTACCAGCACCACAGTGACCCAGTATCTTCTTAAAATTCTTCAGACTCCTACAGGCCCTGGAGGATGTGAAGTCCTTCTTTAGAACAGTGAAGTACAGGCAGCAGTCAGGGGAACTGCAGTATTCCCTCTAGCCCTGTCCAGAAGCAAGAGGAGGGTTTAGTCTTCATGGTAGAGACAGTCATTGATCTCTCTTGTCATTCTGCCAGAAGTGACATCAGTTGCGGTACCAACACCTGTCAGACTTCACTCAGCCTTGTTCTCAGTTCACAGAAGCCACCAAGCATCTGTGAGGTGGAAATAACCTGAACTTGCTCCTGACTGACCTGGATTCAGGCCACTGACCCAATGTCTGGGGTGTGGGTGTCCCATTACCCATCTGAGTCACTCTGCCCCTAACTCACCTTTACCTTGAGGAGCTCTGTTTCCATTCCGGTACAATCCACAGATTGCATCAGTTTCTCATCTTACTGAAGCCTGCAGCTTCTTGACCTGACAGTTTGGTTGTGACAAGGCTGCATGGTATGGAAATAAGAACCTAACCACTTCCTCTTGGGTGTCTCTCCCAGGCAGCAGCTGGTGGTGAGCAACCCCCCCCGGCCCGTCAGGCATGGCCACATCGTGCAGCTGGTCCATGGCATCACCACCCGCTACCTCAACACGTGAGTCCTTTCCTCCTGGATCATTCTGCTCTCTTATCTCTCAGAGTAACTCTTCAGTGTGGTGACCCTGGCATTCAGGTCTGCTCTAAACTCATGGATCCTTCAATTGGTGGGACCAGGAGGGACCTCATGGGGTGACTCTCATATGCCATCCCTGTGGCCCAGAGGAAGGATGCTGTGTGCTTACTTGTTTTTGGCAGTGGGATTTGATACTAATCACAGACTGTTCAGTGGCTGCTAGCTGTCTTCTCTGCTGGTGGCCTTAGTGGTGGTTTCACCCATGGTCACAGTGATAGTAGTTCTGCAGATTCCTACCTTCATAGTCCTCCTGGTGGGTCTTCATCCCTGCCCTGTCACTCCTTCCACTCTGGGCAGAACAGGCATTGCCTGAAATGCCTCCTGGCTGCTTCCCAAAGGGTATCTGCTTGGATGTGAACATCACTCAGATTCAGAAGGAGGCTGTTTTGAGCTTGGGTTTTTGCTGTGTCCCTTGCAAACCTAATTTGTTCGTTATTGGAAACCCCAGTGAACAGCCTCTCTGTGTGTCACAGTTGGTGCTTGTTCTCCAGCCTGGCAGAGCCAGCATCTGCACTGGCTTCCTCTGAGCCTGTTCTTGGCAGCTCTAGGGAGTGGGGAGTGTTCTCCTGCAGAGCAAACAGTGCAGTCTCTATAAATGAGCTGCTTTTTGCTTGATTACTGAATCTGGTCTAGGCCAATTCAATCCCTTTATGGGATTTGCTTTTTCATATGAATTTGGAAAATGATGTTTACTTACTTGTCTTCCAGGCACGATGTTGCTGCTCCTCTTAGCCCTCACTCCCAAGAAGTTTCCTGCTATATTGATTATAACATCTCCATGCCAGCACAGAACCTCTGGAGAGTGGTGAGTAGTCAAAGGGAAGGGAGGAGCTCCTCGGGTTCCAGCAGGAACAGCTCAGACAAGATGAGGATCCAGTGATGTCTTTCTGTCTTAGGAAATCGTAAATCGCGAGTCTGACACAGACGTGTGGAAGACAATTCTGTCAGAAGTGAGGTTTGTTCATGTGAACACCTCTGCAGTGCTAAAGGCAAGTGAGTTTGTGCTTATTTTCCTACAGCTTTTCCTCCCTGCAGCTTTTGTAATAAGGCACTAACCTCCTGCTCAGGAATCCCTAAACTGCTCAAGCAAACAACCAGATACGTAAGTAAAAGGAAACATTGAACCTGCTCAGCTTGCAGAGCTGTCCTGGTCCTCAGGAGGCTGTGAACACTGTTCACAACTGGAGTTTGGTTACTGCCTCAGAAATTGGTGCTGAGCCTCTCACACTGCTCTCTGCACTGACAGCAGCTGGAATGTTAGGATCTCATGGCAGAGTGTCCCAGACTTTATGGCTTGTTGGGACATCATTTCATGGTGACTCCTCACCTACTTTGTTGTGGTCCCTTTGTGATCTGCTGCTCAGGCAGGGCCAGGGAACTTCCATCCTCCAGTTCAGGTTGGCAGGGATGCGCCTTGACAGGCATCTTTCCCTTTCAGCTCAGTGGAGCATCTTTACCTGAGTGGGGATACCAGCAGCTGGAGGTGGTTGGAGAGAAGCTGTCCAAAGGCTACCACCAGAGCATGGTGTGGAATGTGGAGGAGCACAGATATGGGAAAAGTAGGTCCCAGCCATGGTCTCAAAGCAGATTTCTGTGTCTGAGGGATGCTCCATGTTGATTGGAAGGTGGTATCGTGTATGTGTGTGTTCTTCAGGCTCTGGATGGCAAGATCCTTAACAAATCTCTCTGGAGAGCTCTTCTAGTTGGATTATGCTCCTGGGAGCATGAGGAGCCAAGGGAGCCTGTGAGATCTCTCCCCTTTCTAGCTTTGTACTTCCTAATGTGGTTATTTCTGGGCCGTGCTATTTTATACCAGGCCAAGAGCAGAAAGAGAGGCAAGTGGAGCTCCACTCTCCCACACAGATGGACATCAGTAAAAACCTCAGCTTCATGGCAAAGTTCACGGAGTTGCAGGTGAGTGCCTTGTTATTCCTTTCATCTTTCCTTCTGCTGCAGAGCAGGAACAGGACATTTCTGCAGACCTGGGTTTATTCCTTGCTCTTAGTTTGGCTTCCTCATTGAAAAAAAATACTTCGGACTGCAGTTAGAAGGGCATCACAGACCTGTGCTGGTCAGTAACGAGCACCCACCCAGGTGATTGTGTAAGAAGAAAAGGGAGGGAAGGTCAGTTGGGCTTCCAGAAGCTCTCCTGAACTGAGCAGTCCTGTGCTGGTGACCCTTTCTGACACTATGGGAATTCACTAAGGTTTATAGAAGAGCAAAATACAACTGCTGATCAGTAGCCAGTGTGAGATGTGCAAAATCTTTCTCCACTCACAGGTTAAGAACTGACCATCTTGCATCTGGAGCTGTTCACCCTTTCCTGCCATCCCACTCACTGTTCCAAGTCTGAAAGTCCTCTCTATTTTTTTCTAGTGGAAAATACTGACACTAAAAAATGAAGCCACAGAACACAAGTACAGCTCCTCTGCCCTCGACTGGATCACAATGGACACAAATATTGCCTACTGGCTGCACCCCACCTCTGGGGTAAGTACCAGAAGTAGAAGTAAATACCAACCTGGTGAAGAAAGTGTGAGCTCCATGAGTGGGAGTGAGAGCAGGGCTGCAGGGCCAGCCAAGGAGTTGCTCCAGGATGGGCTCTTAAGAATGTATTTTCATAGAACCATAGAATGGTTAAGGTTGGAAGGGATCTTAAAGATCATCAGGTTCCAACCTGAGGGTTGTTTTTTTTTTGGCATGTAATTCAGCTTTGAGATTAGATGCTTTTAATTAAATCATGTCTTCAACATTTTGATTTTTTTTTTTAAAGGAAGACTGCAGTTTAATCCTTTCCTTATTAATTTAATTTAGAAGATGAGTTCATCTCCCAGTAGCAGCTTTTAAATGGATTGCATTACAAAAGGGTCTGGAAGTAGCAACATGTATCAGTTTGCTTTGTTCGAGGACAGATCAGGTTACCAGCCAGGCTGGAGTTTAATAGAGCAAATCTGTATGGGTGATACTTCTGCAAAAGAACTGCAGCCTGTTCCTGCTCCTGGCTTAGACCATCTTCTGGTCTGCAGGCCCAGATCCACCTCCTGGGGAATGTTGTCACCTGGGCTTCAGCTAATGTTGCTGCTCTGATCTACACCTGTTTGTCCCTCTGGTACTTGGTCCGACGAAGAAGAAGGATTTATGATGTTCCTGAAGGTTTGGTTCCATATTGTGTGTGTGTTTGTGTGTGTGAGGTGGGGGAGCTGTTACTTGTTCACTGACATTTTTAATGGCCCCAAAGCTACATTTTTGCAACTCTCTGCTTGGCTCTACCAGCACTTTTTTCTGCCTACTAACCCTGACATTTTTATGAGGGATGAACCAACATTTAGAGTAGGCCCTGAAGAGACTCACTGTGCTCATCACAATATGAGCATCACCTCAGGAGACAGCACAGTAGCAGCATCTTATTTATTTGAACCATTCCCTGGATTAAAGAAATCCCCAGGCATCAGCTTCATAGTCCTTCTGGGATGTTAAAACAGAGACAGGTACTGGCCGTGTGAGGATGGATTTCCTGGAGATGTAATTGTTCTAAGTGAGGTTCCATCTCCTCTGCCTGGTCGGGCAGTTTTTGCTGACCTTTCAGGCAGTGCATTTTGTCCTGCTGTGAAGCTGCTTCATGTTGGCTGTGGTGTCCTGATGGGTGCTTCATACAGTGTGACAATGTAACCATTTCTGTCAGCTGAGTGTGGGTTAAGTTAAAGTATTAAGTTTACAAGTGTACAAACCCAAAACAAGCAAGTAGGATGACGTCTTAGAGATTTTAGGTTTCCAGACAGTGCTTTGATGGCGTCTCCTGTTCCCTGCAGATGTGTGGCAGCTGTGGGTGTCAGCTGGGGGGATCTGCCTGGGAGGCTGGGCTGTGAACTACCTGCCCTTCTTCCTGATGGAGAAAACGCTTTTCCTGTACCACTATCTGCCTGCCCTCACGTTCCAGATCCTCCTCATCCCCATCGTGTTGCAGCATCTTGGCACTTATCTCTGCAGGTAATTCGTTTTAATAGATGGACAGACAAGAGATGCAGTTGTTTTCTCCAGGGCTCTGGCCTTGACAACCTGCTGCAGGGACAGGGATGATGTTCCCAGCAGTGCCAGTACTCTGCCTGTTGCCTTTGGAACAGACACTCCATCTGCAGGTCTTTTGGCTGAAGCACTTGGCCAGCCTTGGTGTGACTTCACTGCTCTCTCCCTCTCCCCTCCCCAGGTCTCCACTTCTCAGGAGCATGTTCAGTGCCTTGGTGGTTGCCTGGTTCTCCTCCATCTACCTTGTCTACTCCACCTTCAGCCCCGTGACCTACGGGCAGCCCTCACTCTCTGTCACTGAGCTGAGGCACCTGCGCTGGAAGGAGAGCTGGAACATCCTCCTCAGAAAACAGTGACACCCACAGGCTTGGTACAGGCAAAAGGAGACTCCTTCTATGCAAAGCCAAGAATTTATTGTTAGTATCATGGAAATCTGAACAGTCTGATCAAATAAGGGATAGTAGTCCAGATCTAATTGTTACAGAAAAAGAGAAGAAAAGAATATTGTTACCAAAAAAGAAAGAGGTCTCAACAGTGCTAGAGCTGTTGTGTGGAGCACAATTCCCAGTCTCTGCCCGTTACATTCACCCTCCCACTGCCCCTTGGGGTTGGGAGGTTGCTGACTTCAGTCCAGCAGCATCCCAGGACCCTTGCTGGAAGGAGCAGGCTCCAAGGGCTCCTTCTTCCTCCTCCCTGGTGATGGTCTCTTCCTTCTCACACTCTGTTGCACTATATTTATGTTCCCTAGCACCTTGGTCTGCAATTCCAGGTTACAGCAAGTCACTGAACAGATGCTCTCCAACATACTGCATCCTTCGTTATTCCTGTTTTTTCCAGCCCCAAAACTGACACATATTTAGCTGTCAATAACTGGCCCTGCAGTCTTCAGCATCATCTCATGGCTGTATCCCCCATCAGAGCATTCTCTGCCCCCCCAAGTCAATGCTCTGCCATCATCATCCCTGGTTCATTAATTACAACATTAAGCCAAGTTTATAAATAGTCCATTTTGCATAACGTAACGACTTGTTACTGTTATCTGTGGATAATCATTTGGCATAACCATCATTTTTATTAAGCTAGGCAAAAATAAAACAAAGAGGCATTAAAAAAAAAAAAAAAAGCTGTTACAGCTAAATAAGCTAAAAACAAAGCTCCAGGCAGGCCAAGAAATCAGCCAAAGCCAGAAGAGTCCCCTGGCCTCGTGTTCCTGCTCCTGGCAGTGGCAGGGCTGCATTTACTGGGCTGCAGGGTTACCCCTCAAGCCTCATCCCAAGAGGAGCTCTGAGCGAGGCAGAACTGATCAGGCTGACAAGGAAACCTGCTCAAACCTGCACCTACGGCCTCGGGGTAAGAGTGACTCGGGCCACGCCCTGGCCTGCACCAGCAGAGGAGCTCGCACGCTAGAAGGTGCCAGAGACACGTGGGATCGCTCAGCAGGGAATTTGTAACAGCTCCGTACAGGTGTTAGAGGCTGCAGTACCTACACCACTGACTGATTTATTTTTCCATGTGGCTGCAGCAGCAGGATCTTGCAATCCAGCTTCAAGCTGACCCAGAGCAGCAGGCCTAGCCAGACAAGGTGCTGCAAACTGCTCTAACAGATGCTGTTCCAGGCTGCCTTGAGCTCCCTCCCCGCCCCCCAGAGGAAGGGATGATCAAACACCACAGTCATTCAAAGCAGGTTTTAGTGACTATTTTGCTCCTCCTCCATTCAGCCCCGGTAGCTCATGCTTCACTGCGGTAGCTCATGCTCTAAGTTTGGCACCCTGAGCTGAGCAGCACCCAGCAGCAGCTGGGAAATTAGCTGCTTTCTCCTCAGCAGGACAGGTACCACTGACCTGGGAGATCACAGCTGGGTAACAAACACCGACTGATTTCCAGTGTTGAAAAGACTACAGGACTGAAAGTGCAGACTGCATTTTTGTTTAAAGTGTTGGTTTTTTTTTTTCTCTCCTTTCCCTGAAGCAGCCATTACCAAACTAACAACTCTGAGCCAAGGGGAGAAAGGACTGAGTACAAGGGCATCTCCAGACATGTTCCCTCCTGTCCCTTTGTGCTGCTGCAGTGCAAGTGGCACAAATACCTCATATAAAACAGTCATTTCTGCTCACTGTTTTGCAGTTGTTAATTAGCCAAAGTAACACACACACACACCGCCAACACAGCCAGGCCCTGTTTTTCAGAAAACTAGCAAATATAAAAACATTCCCCTTAATAATATTTCTTGCCCCCCACCCTCATTCTAAAGATTACACCATAAAAGTCGAGACTCACAAGGACATTTTCAAAGGCCCAACCAGCACTTCATAAACTTTAAATTGCTGCATATCACTGTAAATCAAGAAACTGGGATCAGACTGTTGATACTTCCAGCCTCTTGTCAGCTGGTTTAGAAAGCCAGACATTCTTGAGTTTAAACTGCCTGAGTGCAAGGCAAAGACTTTCACCCTGTCTGAGGGCAAAGGCATGTCCAGAGCTGCCTATGCCACCAGGAGGAGGGTCTGGCGCTTCACAGCTTCCCCCCTCTGAAAGTGGATGCAATTCTGACCAGCAGAATCTGCAACCAGCAGTAGAGAAACACCCTAGAAGACACACATACTGACAAGGTCAGGTTTCCATTTCCATGAGCAACTCAATCCAGTTGGAGCTCACACATTTGAAAACTCTCGTAAAGACTATTGGGGCACAAAAATTAATCATACAGTGTAGCAAGGTTCAGGTGCTTAGAAAGGACTAAATTAGGCACCAGAATCACACAAGATCTTGGGCCTAGCCTCCCCTGAACTTCAAGTTCCCATTTGCCCCAGACATTCCCTGTTTCATCTCTGTCTCAGGGGGGGAAATTCCTCGGCAAGCAGCTACAAGTGCTGCTACACCTGACAAAGGAGGCTGAGCATCAGGAGAGTGATGCCAGAACTCAAGGTCCCATCAAGGTGGAGAAGAGCAAGGACTGCACCTGCTTGGTTACATGAGCAAGGTGTGAGCTAGTCTTGGATGCAGAGACTTGTCTTTTGAAGGGAAAAAAAAAGGCAGCTAATTTTCCTGCTAAGGAAGCTCATCATCAGGGAGCTGGGCTATCTTGCTAATCACCTGGTAGCACTTAATTTTCAAGGGAGACTTCAGCCTTAGATCTCATTTTGAAAATTACAAAAAAGGCAAGTGGCACTGCCTTTAACCAGTTCACTGAGTAACAGAGCAAATCCAGACAACACCGGGAGAAATGGGAGGGAGTGTGGAGGGGAAAGGGGCAGCAGCCCAGCTCCTTCCCCTTCCCTCTGCGAGAAGTTTCACACCCGTATCCCCCTCCGCTGCTGGGATGATTTAAAGGGCACTTCACCAACCATTCTGCTTGAAGTCCTTCTTTCTCCAAGCTGTCTTCAGTGTTGGTCTGGACCAGAGGCAAATCCTTCAGGAGGTCAGTTAGTGTGGGCGGCTGCTGGACTCCAGGTGGGAGCGCTTGCCGGTCGCCAGCGCGTTGCTGCCGCCGCCGCCGCCTTCCGGCTGCTCCGGGAACGGGCGCTTGTAGGGCCGGACGTGCCCGTTCACCGCCCCGCGCTGCCACTTGCAGATGTCCCCGTTCAGGATGTCTTGGATGTGCTGCACTATGAGGTTGATGGCAACTGCAGGGAGAAACAGGGGGCATGTAGGTTAGCTAAAAAATGTGGAGCATCCCACCCTGCCCAGTCTGAACCAGCCAGGCCTGCCCTCCACGCTGAGCCCAGACCTCCACACCAGCTCTAACCCTGCTCAGCATCTCTAGTCGGGTCACTTTTTCCAGAGGCTGAGCAGATGGTCATCCCAGCTAGGCTCTGAGCAGTTCCCTCCATTACATGCCTCCCTTACCCCCCAACTCCCAGTAAAACACCCTTCCCTGGACACAGGCAAACCAGGCAGTGCTGTGCCACCTGCTTGCCTCCCAGCGCCAAAGGTGCTGTCCCCAGAGAAATCAGGCAGAAAAGCAAACTCCCTTTTACCCATGTTGTCGACTCCTCTGGGGATGATCACATCAGCATACTTCTTGGTCTGCAAAACAGAAGAAATTCTTGATGGGAAAAAACAGCTTTATAGAAAAAGAGCTATCAGAAGCTACCAAAGCTGAGGGCAAAGCTGGGTTCCTGTGCTCCAGGACTGTAACTTAAAGCTCTTAGTCATGGTAACACCCAAGGGAACTGAGAAGTCCTACACGCTCTAGATTTAAGGCCAGGCCTTGTTCATCCTGCCCTTTTGCAGTGAAGCAGCAGGTGGGAGCAGCAGGTGGAGCATGAAGAACTTGCTTTCACTCTTCTGAAGAGCAGGTGGCCTTCCAATGGGTCTCCTGCTTGTTTGCTCAGAGCTGTTCTGATCAGCATTTCACAACCATTGCTAAATCCTGGCCCAGCAATGAGGCACCCAATGTGCATGTGAAAGTCCTTCCAGCCTCTGATGACATATTATTGATTTCTTTATTTTTTTTTACCACCATGAAGCCCCTGAGTTTTTCCCCAACCCCCCCCTACTTATGAAAAGGCTGGCAAATTCAGCATGTCTAATGAGTACTTTTACAAACCCAGAACTGCTTTGATCTAGAGCAAGAGGTGCCTCTGAGTCAGCCTTTTCCAACTTAATCCATGTACAGGATTTTGTTCTCAAAGGGTTTTTACAAATTAACTTGACAGGGTGAGCGCCTAAATGGGCCCCACATTCCAACATGGCAAGGTTAGAGGGATGGGGTGCTGGGAGATGGGCTGGATACATGGCAGCACAGTTGAAGTCTCATAGAGATGAGCCCGGGGCTCCTCAGGCAATAGAGGCCAACAGGGAAACACGACGAAGAGCTTCAGCTCAGGATTAAAGGGCAGGGCCAGGGGACATCACCATGGGGCTCCTACAGGCCACCCCACCAGGATGACTGAGCAGATGAGACCCTTTATAGAGAGACAGGAGTAGCCCTGGTCCTCATGGGGGGCTTCTATCACCCCCAGTATCTGTTGGAGGGACAACACAGCACAGGAACCATTCAAGTTCCTTCAACAAGCAGCTTGTAATGGTGAAAGAGGTGAAGCAGAGAGTGGGACTGGTGAAACACAAACAAGAAAAGCCACCACTGCTGCATCCAGAGTGCAGCTAATCCCCAGGACACCCTGCTCCTCCTCTGCCCCACCCCAGGACCCAGAGACCAATGCAGTGCAACACTTGGTACCGGCAGGCAGAACTCCTCAAAGGCAGGCTTGACAAATGTGGTGTACTGGGTGAGGATCTGCTCGAGGTCCCTCCCACGTTTCATATCTCGCAGAACTGGGATGGGAAGATAAAAGCCATGAGTTTTACCCCACAGCAAAGGAGCAGGAGCAGGCTGGCACCACCCAGGGTGGCAGGGTCTCACCTCGGCGGGACAGCCGGACGTCCGAGTCCGTGTCCACGAAGAGCCGGAGGTGGAACATGTCCCGGATGTCTTGGTTGTAGAAAACCAGGATCCCCTCAAACAGGACAACGTCAGCAGGATAGACCACTGTGGTCTCTGCCAGCCTGTTGGGTGAAAACACCCCGAGCACCTTGTTTGAAGGGTCCCACACCTCAGCCAAGCCCCAAGCACAGCTGGAAGCATCCACACCCCCTCCCCTCCAAGGCCTCACCCCTCCCAAGACCTCACACCCTACCCCAAGACCACAGCCCCCCAAGACCCCACAGCCCCCCCAGGACCTACCGAGAATGGGTCACAAAGTCGTACGTTGGCACCTCCACCGTTTTCCCCTCAACAATGTTTTTCAGGGTTGTGTGCATCAAATCGTTATCAAAAGCATCTGCCAGAGGAAGGTTGAAAGAGGAAGATGCTCAGATGCTATCAAGTGCCCTGCTCAGATTTTCCTACACCCAAAGGAAAAGCTCTTTGCCACCAGAAACCCAGGAACTTGTGCTTTATTTTCTTCCTACCAGCAGCAACCCAACACTCCCCACCCAAAGCTGTAACTGCCACACTTGATTAAAAAGATAAAGGAGAAAGAATTTGCTGTTTGCAAACAACTGCAGCACAGTGAAATTACTGAAAGGTGAAAGCTGGTAATTGTATAATTTTACCAAACCACCTGATAATTGTGTAAATTTGTGCAACTCCCAGCCTGTTAGCTAAGAGTCATTTAGAAAACCTCAGACATCTTTAATGCTTCTCATCACCTGCCAGGGTGAACCTACAGCAGGTTCTACACTGCAGCTAAGGGGAGGTCCAGTCCCCTTCACCATCCACAACACTCTGAGCAAGGAGAGCTGATGTTTGTGTGGACAAGAAATATCTGAAACGGGTCTGGGGGATAATGGAGTTTATGAGAGAGAAGCTGAGGATGAGGGGAGAGCCTCCAGTTCTCCAGTTTCTCTCTCTCAAGGGTGCACTGAACTATGAGGTACAGGTGAACCAGCTGGTTTGGTTAGGGCAGTGCTGTCACCCAGCACTTCTCGTTCCCCACGAGCAAACGGCAGCTGCTCCCCAAGCACCGACACAACCAGGAGAGGGGAAAAACCGCTGCATCCAGGGGCTCACCCGGGTGGTCGAAGTTGTACTGGCCCTTCAGCGCCTTGGCCTTCTGCTCGGCCGTCAGCACCTTGTAGAAGCTGTCCTGGCTGAGGATCAGCACCTTCCTCTGCCGCCGCTCCACCTCGTTCTGCCCCAGCAGCTCCATGATCTTCTCACACACCGTGGACTGAGGGGAAGGAGCCGAACCGGGGGGGTCAGGCCGGGCGGGAAGAACCGGCGCCTCATCCCCCCCG